TTTTTTTAAAAAAATTCAGGAACATATTAACAGATGTAGCTGCCTTGAAAGTAGTTGTGTTGAACTGTGTAAGTTGTTGCAAATATTTTAGGATATTTTGTATTATATAATAAAATACTTTGATAATTTTGTCATAAAATGTTTTATACCAGAGAAGTCATAGGCTCTGGATTTTGGACACATTTTGTAAGTTAGCCTTTTTGAGGTACTTTGGTTAATTTTTTTTACCTATGACGCACCCACCCAGTTAAAGATTTCAGGCATGAGAGTTTAATAGTATAGAAGATACTTATCTTTTCTATAAAGCTCATCCAATGGCAGTATTTCAGTTGCTCAACTTCTATAGCTTGCTTGTTTTTTTAAAAAGTGATATTCAGGATTAGTTTAAAATGGAATGTGGCTCTTATGGCACTGAAATTTGCTTCCCAGATTATCTGGAATATTTAAAAATATAAATCTTCATGTTATAGGGAGGTTTCATCTATATAAATCTTGGCAATGAAGTCAGTGTATGTCTTCACAGGTCTGTACAATGTAACAGCCATTTTCTAAAAAATGTAATCCATGGTTACTGATGTTGCAAGTGAAAGGTAATACTTTCCAACTTAAATGGGAATATGCAAGTTCTTTTCCCCAGATGTTTACTTTCTTATTTTTTGACAGATACATAATAATATTTTAGGCTTCTTGCATTGAAAATAAAAGATACAATTCATCACCCTGAAATAACAGCCAACCCTTTGTAGCACTCCCTTTTATTAGGGATGGCAGAAAGATTTTTCAGCAAAGCCTATTTTGAAAAGGATTTCTGATATTTTCAGTAACCCCCTTAAGGCCAATCTGCTAGTTCTTGGGCACATTCTTTGAAGAAATGTGGTTTATAGGAACAGGCAACATTTTGGGAACTAAGGGGCATTTTGAGGTTGTAGGGCTTATATCAGAAAATGGTTATCACAGGAAACTATTCACAAAAGAGCTGCCATGCTAACCATAGCTGATCACAAAACACCCATTTGCCAGAAGATAAACCAACTTCCTATGATGCTCTCTATCATCACCATGCACTGCTGCCAATAAATATAGTGTGCTTTGTAGCATGTCAGCTTTCTATTTATTGATATATATATTTAAAGATGGGTGAGTCAAGGAGCCTGATAGGCACCAAGGGATGTGTATGGATGGACATATTCTTTTCAATGAGCATCATACTTGCCACCCTTGTCGTATATGTGGAAGATATAGCCCTTCAGATTGGCCTTAAGGGGGTTACTGAAAATATCAGAAATCCTTTTCAAAATAGGCTTTGCTGAAAAATCTTTCTGCCA